TGGGTTCTTTAAAAATTGTTAGTCAAAACAAAAATGTTATCAGATTGTAGATTACAGACCTTAGGAGTTATAAAGTATGCAACAGCAATACAATTTCGTATTGAAAAATTATTCCTGGATTTTTAATCATTATGGACAAACGGGGTTTCCCGGCACATTGAGGCAAGCCCAGGATTTCCTCTTGCCTCCTTACACGAGCAGGACAGCGCACGCCGGTTCCCCTTCGCCCCTTTTGCTTCCCTATCCGCCCACAGCAAGCAAGTTTGGGATTTCTTGGCCGCTTGGTTTTCCTCCCGACTGGTCACCCGAGTGGGAAGCATGCGGTGGCTTCCCTCCCCTCCCACACCAACCGGCTCTTACTGGAGGTGCATCTGGGGAGCGGGGGGGTCACGAGTGGCTTCAGGGATGACCAGGGCTACTTGGGAAGCTCAGGAGCTCCTTTTTCAGCATTGAGCAGGGGTTTCCCAGCCTGGGGCTCGGGAGGGGGAGGTTCCCTTGTTGCTAGATGGGCCGTGTCTAGCAACTCTTGTTTTTACCTGCCACGTGGGCACTCAGGAGCTCCCTTCCAGCGCCGAGCAAGGGCTCCCCTGCCTGGGGGATGAGAGGGGGAGGTCGCCTTTGTTTTGCCAGCCACATAGGTACTCAGGGGCTCCCTTTCACCACAGCGTGGGAATCCCCTGGACGGAGTTGAGAGGGAAGGTCCCTTGGACATTAACTGGGGCCAGGTGGGCACAGAGGAGCTCCCTTCCACCAGGGGCTATCGGCAACACGGGGGTCGCAGCGGCAGCCAGCCATTGTTCAGTTTAATTCAGCAGCTGATTGGCGGCTCTGCAAAATGGCTTCCCTAGGGTGTTTTCGGCACTGCTTCGGAAGACAGCAATTTAAAATGGCTTCCCTATGGGCGAGCTTAGCATGACAACAACTGTTTTTCTCATTGGAACGCATTAAACGGGTTTCAATGCATTCTAATGGGGAAACGCTTTTTACAAGACGATTTCTCTAAATAGCGATTTCAATGGAACACATTATCATTGTCTTGTGGGGCACCACTGTAACTCCTATTTGTATTCTTGCCACTTCTTCTTGATGTCTTCTGCTTCTGTTAGGTTGCTACCATTTTTTTCTTTTATCATGTTCAACTTTGCACAAAATTTTCCTTTAATATCTCCAATTTTTGAACAGCTCTCTGGCTTTTCCCTTGCTATTATTTTCCTCTATTTCTTTGCACTGTTCATTTAAGAAGGCCCTCTTGTCTCTTCTTGCTATTCTTTGGAAGTCTGCATTCAATTTTCTGTAACTTTCCCTATGTCCCTTGCATTTTGTTTCCCTTCTCTTCATTTGTTACACCTTAGATATGACATATGCATGTCCGATCATTTGTACTTTTCGTAGTTCCGATGTATTTGTATTGTATTCCCTTTTCCAAGAATTCTGGGTTTGCAAATCTTTGATGCTACAGGACTATGTTCTTACGGGTTCTTTAAAAATTGTTAGTCAAAACAAAAATGTTATCATATTGTAGATTACAGACCTTAGGAGTTATAAAGTATGCAACAACAATACGATTTCGTATTGAAAAAATATTCCTGGATTTTTAATCATTTGGGCTTCCAAGAACTGCATATAAGGTTTGTTTGAAGTTAAGAGGAAAACAATTTGTAAAAATGATAAATATAGGGAGGCAAGACACATTCATTCATTCACTCACTCATCATCAAAACTCCGCACCACTTTGGGCACCAGACAGGAAATAACAATCATGTAGCAGAGGCAACCCAAGGAGCTGATGTGAGGAAAAAGAAAATGAAATAGCACAGACAGAAGACACAGAAATCATGGAATTTACTCCATAGATTTTATTTTGCATTGTTTCTACTTATATAACACCCCATACTGCTAGAGCACTCTCTGGGTGGCTTACAACCTAATTAAAAAAAGAAAAACTTTGCCCCCCACCCCCAGTGGGCTGAGTACTCATTTTACCAACTTTGGAAGGATGAAAGGCTGAGTCACCCTTGAGCCAGCTACGTACCTGAACCCATCGGGATGAACATGTAAGCAGAGGCTTGACTGCAGTTTAACCATTTAATTATCACAATTCCCCACTACTTTAAACTGCCTGATGACTGTGTAAGCACTTGGAAAAATTATTTTTTTCTGTTATTAATATCCTTAGAAGCCTAGAAAATATTGTAATATATTTTGAGAGATGTGGGGTTTTTTGTTTGTTTTTAAACATGCCTTATTAGGCTATAAGCTCTTGAATTTCTAGAATGTAACTTAAAACATTCAGTTTGATATTTTATTGTATTTTTGCTCAAGTATTTTGGATTCAAATGAGACTTAAGTTCTGTTTACAACTAAAGGTTAACACCTGTAGCTTTTTACAAATTGCAAGTAATTTGTTTCAGCATTTGTACTTCGTTTTCCTCACAAGTGTAAGACTGTTTTCAATATATTTTAACTTGTTACTTTTTGAGGTATTTTCCGCATATGGAATATAGAAGCAATGAAGATGAATAAAGCTTGTAGAATTAAGCAAATTGATATTGCCTGGAATTATTGCAATAATGAAGACTTCTACCTTGATACTGGGATGAATTCTGCTTGTCAATGATTGGTTTCATTCTGGAGTTAACCTTTTTGGGGCGATAATGACAATTGTGACAAACACAGGCTTCTGGTTCTTCCCTGGAAGTCTATAAGGTTCTGTAGGACTTTTATGGAGGGTCTAGCATCAGGTTATCTGATCTGACACCATTTTAGCAGACACGTATGTTGGCTCACATACATCTTGTGATTTATGACAATTCCTTCTCACCTGTAGTATTACTGAGTTAAATATCCCCTATCTTGTGGTTTCTTTTTCACAGGTGTAGAAGTTGCTCTGTTAAATTTCATTTCAGCCCAGCGCTTCAGCCTATCAAGATCTCTTTGTATTTTTTGTCTTCGAGGGTATTAGTTATGCCACCCAATTTTGTGTCATCTACAAATCTGACAAGCACTTCCTCATCCAAATCATTAATAAAAATGCTGAAGAGCACCACACTCAGGAGTGAGCCTTGGAATACCCTGCTTGTAACCTCTTTGGAGTTAGAAAAGGAACCATTAATGAGAACTGAGTATGATTCTGTAACCAACTTCAGATTCACCTGATTGTTGTTCTAGCTGGCCCAGACCTAGCCAAACACGAGTATCATAGGGCACTTTGTCAAAAGCTTTCCTGAAGACACCATATATTACTTCCATGGCATTCCCACCATTTACCAGGAAGGAGAAAAAATTAGTTTGGCAGGATTTGAGAAATCCATACTGGCTTCTACTTATGGCTGCATTGTTTTCAAAGATCTTACAAAAACTTTCAGTCTTTCCTGGCATTTACCAGTTTTTATATTTGATATATAGTATGTTTGTAAATATAAAAGCTTGCATTCCAGTCAAAATCTTAAAAGATGACGCCGCTAAGGTGCTACACTCAATGAGCCACCGGGTTTGGAAAACTCAGCAGTGGCCAGAGGACTGGAATAGATTAGTCTACATCCCAATCCCAAAGAAGGGCAGTGCCAAAGAATGCCCCAACTACTGTATAACTGCACTCATTTCACATGCTAGCAAGGTTATGCTCAAAATCCTCCAAGGCAGGCTTCAGCAGTATGTAGACCAAGAAGTCCCAGAAGTACAAGCTGGATTTTGAAGGGGCAGAGGAACTCGAGACCAAATTGCTAACATGCACTGGATTATGGAGCCAGAGTGTTCCAGAAAAACATCTACTTCTGCTTC